TTAAGTAATTGATTTTGTTTCCTATTATTAAAGATATAGTGTTACTAGAGGAATCAGTGGAGAAAAATCCTCCTTGTTTCCTATTTTCTCCCTCTTTCCATTCTCATAATTTCTTCTCCTATATAAAAGAGCCTCCACCATTGTATTGTATATGAATTGAGAGAGTATTATTAAAGTGATGTAGCCCTTTGGGCTCTTTGTGCTGTGGATGTAGGCCCTAGTGGCTAAATCACATAATATATGTGTTTTACTTGTTTTATTTATCTCTTTGCTTCCGTTTTATGCTTTATAACATGGTATCAGAGCCTAATTTCTCTTCCTAGGTTCGGACCCCTACTTAGGGGTATTTCTTTAGCATCTAAAATGTTGTTAAGGTGCTATTTGTGACTTGTTTGGGCTGCTGGTTTGTTCGGCAATAATGTTCTTCACCTTTGCCGCGTCTCCGGCAGTTTTTATCGACTTGTTTTGACTGCCGGTGTATTCGGTAGCATTGTCCTTGCCTTTGCCATGTCTCTAGAAGTATTTTGTTGACTTGTTTGGGCAGTCGGTGTGTTCGGTAGCATTGTTTTTCGTCTTCTCTCTTCATCATTCACACTTGTTGCTACTCGTCATCTCAATGGCAAGTTGGGCATTCATGAAGATTTAATGGAGGAATCAGTGGAGAAAAATCTTTTAAGTAATTGATGTTGTTTCCTATTATTGAAGATATAGTGTTACTCCAACTTGAGGGGGAGCATTGAAGATTTAATGGAGGAATCACTGGAGAAAAATCTTTAAGTAATTGATGTTCTTTCCTATTATTGAAGATATAGTGTTACTAGAGGAATCAGTGGAGAAAAATCCTCCATGTTTCCTATTTTCTCCCTCTTTCCATTCTCATAATTTCTTCTCCTATATAAAGGAGCCTCCACCATTGTATTGTATATGAATTGAGAGAGTATTATAAAAGTGATGTAGGCCCTAGTGGCTAAACCGTGTAGTATATGTGTTTTATTTGTTTTATTTATCTCTTTGCTTCCGTTTTATGCTTTACAACAGGGAGAAATACGACGTAGAGAGAAAGAGCGAAAAAAAATCGTTTTTTTTCAGCCATGGTAGTACCAATGCCGGTGGTGTTGCTGCAGAGTTGCCGCTGGTTTCTTCAAGGCTGGTGGTGCTGTCCAAGAGCTGGTTGTTTCTTCAAGGGATACGGCACTTAGGGTCGGGGAAGATGGGATGAGAGAGTTGTGTAGGATTTATATGAATGGGCTGGAAAGATGTGCCTGAAGTTTTTCTTTTCAAGTGGATTGATATTATAAACGTTATTGAATTGTGTTGGTTTGAATTGAAATGGGCTCTACTTTTTAGTTTTAATGAAAAAAGAATGGACATAAACTATTGAATATATATATTGATATTATAAACATTATTGAATTGTGTTGGTTTGAATTGAAATGGGCTCTACTTTTTAGTTTTAATGAAAAAAGAATGGACATAAACTATTGAATATATATATGTGTGTGTGTGTGTGTGTATTCACAAGCCCAATAACGAGTAAGTTCACTAATGTGTTCGCAAACTAACGAGCCGAGCTGAAGGGTGTTTGGTATTGGCTCATTTATTAATCAAACATCCAAATTTTGTTTGAGCTCAGTTCATTTATTAAATAAACGAACGCGGGCGGAGCTTTTAACAAACCGAGCCCAAGTTGTTCGCGAACAGCTTGGCTCGTTTGCATTCCTAATTAATGGGAGGGTAAGGTATTTTATTTTTATTTTCTTATATCTATTTTTATGCTTGGTTTATAATTTTCTCACACATTAATACAAGGCACATGGTATAGCTTGTCAATGCTTGAGTGGAAGTAAAAGCATTGAAGTGAAACTTTGAAGTTTGTGTAGTTTTCAGGATGTGTTCCCCTTTTGAACGCTTTCTAATACATCTTTACTTTTAAAAATAAATAAATTAATAAAAAGCTTGAGTTTTTTTTGTTTTTTTTTTTTTTCTCCAAAAAAAAAAAAAAAAGAAATTATGTTGTATTGTTTTAGTTTTTGTCACCAAATTGCCGAAGGGGGGAGATTGTTAGATCAATAGGACTTCAATTAGCAAATTTCGTAATTAAAACAATAGTCTGTACTTTTACTTTTTGTTTCTAGTTAGATTTTTTAACGTTCATTAGTGTCAAGTTAGTTACCCCTTGTCCAAGGGCCGAATCGGAAATAAGGTTACAACCAAGGGCAGAATGATAATCTTTAAAGTAAATGGTACTAAGGTAATTTGACTAACATACATGCACTCACCAAATTAGGGTTCATGCAGTTATCAATTAGGGTTTCATTTTTCATGTTTTAATTTAGTAAAAACCTTTTTAATATGCATTGAGAGTTTTTGGAAACTTTTGGTTTTAAAATATTCTAATTAAAAAGTGAACTTGGCAATTTGGTCAATTGACAAATCAATCTAGGGCTACTAGAACATGTCAATCTATCATCATGTGATCGATCAGTTTCTTTCTTTATTTAGAACTCCATAACCTTAATCCTTGTTCTTCTCTCTCTCTCTCTCTCTCTCTCTCTCTCTCTCTCTCTCTCTCTATATATATATATATATATATATATATTATAAATACCCGCTTACTTTATACACAAGGATAATACAATAGGGAAAAGTATACTGTGAGGCTATTTTGAGTGCATATAATTTTTATTTTTCATTTGTCAATCGTTTTGTTTAAAGATTGGTGAGTGTTCATGCATGTGTTGACAATCTACTGCTCTTGAGCTAAATTGGAGTTCAACACAATCAACCTACGCTTCAGAGAGAGGTTTTGAGGACTAGCCTGGAGATCAAAGTACCTGAGAATAAGCAGATTACGAATCTGTTGACAAAGCGGACTACATGCCTGAAGACTGTGAGTATGAGTTTGGTTGATCAGTCCGTGTCAAGAGTTAACTAGGGATTCTGGGGTATTGAAATGTTATCCTAGTTAATATCTCTTTCTTTCCTATAGTGGATTTGATTTGTCTGGACTAGGTACCATGGTTTCTTCCTTGGAGTTTCCACATAAAAAAATCTTGTGTCCATTGTGCTCTTTATTTTTATATTTTTTTCCGGTAAGTATTTGTGCTCTTTATTTTTATTGCTTTTGTACTACATTATTTATGAGAATATGATTATAGCATGATGGATTGAGTAGATCTATGATTATCGTTTTAATTTACACATTAAACTATTGGTAATTTAGTTGAAGCTTAAATTTAAGCTTAAATTTTAGTTAAAATCAGTTAATAAAACAATTAAGACCTACCCATCCTCCCTCTAGGTCTAGATCACAAATATTGCGCTAACTCTACATCAGAGCCTCAAGCTACGGTACTAGACTTACCAGGAAGTTGATAAGCTTTCTTTCTTTCTTTCTTTCTTGTTTAACTTATATTCACAAATAATTTGTGGAATCAATAGACCACTATTTTATATGAAGCGGAGTGTTGGGCCCTAAAAAAGAAACTAGAACACCACCTAAGATGGATGATTGGAGTGACTAGAAGAGATAGGGTCACTGATTAAAGTGTAAGAGAAAATTTAGGAGTAACACCTTTAGTGAGACAATTAGAGAGATTAAACTTAGATGGTTTGGACACATACATTGGGGACCTAATACACGCCAGTCAAATGAGAAAGACTAGTTGTCATTGAAGGTAAGAGGAGGAGACCAAAAATAACATGAGATGAGGTTATTGGGAAGGACTATAAGAAGTTAAATATAGTAGGTGAAATGGCATGTAATGGAAAAGATTGGAGATAGAGATTTCATGTGGCCGACCCCATTCATATGGGGTTAAGGCAAGGATAATGATGATGATGAATAACATCAATCACATTTCCATCCAGTCCTTGTAAAACAGAAATGTGTTGGATACCAGCACTCTGTAGGTTCTGTGCACCTGAAGATTTTCATGTAATTTATGTCAAAGAAGGATTCATTCTCTGAAACAAATTGAAATAATAATACACGCAGCAGTTGCTTGATCACATAGAAAGAGTTCTTGCTGATGGATGTAGGTTGCCATGACCTTTCATTTATGCTCTTGTATACAAATGTGCAACACAATTTATTACGTGTCCTACTTTAAAGGAATTACGATGCATTTCATCAGTAGATTTATTTTTACACAAGTACCTTTGGCTAAAAACTAAATAATATATTGTCCTGCTACCCATGAGTTAATTTCTTTCTCAAGTACTTCTGGCTTCTTGAAACTGACAGAAAGCCTTACAAAGCTTTAGGTGTTTATTATCATTCAGTAACTTCAGTTAGATTTAGGTTTTCTCGTAGATAGAATTGTCTTTATAATCGGATTGAAAAGACATAATTTGAGACAGAATGAAGTATTTGTTGTCCCATGGAAATTGGAGTTGTCTGCTGTGCTTTTGCAGGCATCTAAAATATCTTATCTGTTAAAAAAAGAAACGAAAAAGAAAAAACCGTTTTCATAAGGTAATTTTAGAAATTCAATTTGATTTGGGTGTTTATGGTACATTGCCATATATTACTTTAACAAGTTCAATTTTCAAATACCATGTAAATTGCAACTGACTAGTTCAATTTTAAATGGTAGTCCAAGCACCTACTTACACACTGAATGATCACAACAATATGATTAAAGGCTAGATGAATTGGCAACTTGGATGATTGAGTGAGAAGAAGACCAATGATGATTGCAGGTGACTGTGGGAAAATATATGCTGGAATAGGCTCTAACTAACCAGAAAGGCTGTGGAGATAGACCCTTTGCTATGATTACCATCATCATTGTTGTTATTCTTGTTTATTGTCATTATTGGTATTGGGGGTTTGGGTGGTTTATGTGCCTATGTTTATAATATTTGAACTTTTTAAAAACAAAAGAAACTCATGTATTCAACTAAAATGATTAATTATTCACAATGTTTCCTTATTTCTGGTTCCGTGGTATATTCAAGCAGACCGTACTCTTTGCTAATTTTATTTTATTGGCCAGATTGCAAGCGCTTTTGGACCTGAATTTTTGCTACAATTGTATCTATCTGGGGCAGTTGTTGGCTCAATTTTCTACTTGGTGCACCATGCCTTTATGGCCTCATCATCAAAGGTACAAAGACACTTGCAAATTGTATGGAAATTTATTAAGCAGTAGTGAGAAAGTGACTCTGAGGGACATTCACGCTTGCTTTAATACCCTTAAAATGTACAGAAGCAAGAAAGGAGAAGACGAATAAATATCTTTGGGCGCATGTAGTTAACATCGAGAACTTTTGATAATAACAACAAATCAAACAATGCTGAACGGTTTAGAATTTATCATGAATGGTCCTCAGAGGTTGAAATTTACTGGATGAATAATTTCATTTTCTTACATGCAAATAAAGTTTGTGCGTGATTTTTTTGGTAGATTTTATATATCTGGTCTAGATAAATGGTATTACCTTAATTTACGTATAATTTCATTGCACAAAATGTTAAGAAAGAAATGTTAATGGTCATATTAATTTGTGTATGATGAGTCATATTACAGTTCCATATTTTAAGTGAATTGCTGGCTGTCATCTACAGAGCCAAAACATGTGGACGATGGACCCTTCAAGGATTCCAGGATTGGTATGCTGACATTCTTCTTTTAAATTCTTATTTTCCTACCAATCAAATTAAGTCAGAGAATTCTAGGCATTATTTGGAACTCATAATTCCTCTTAACTCCTTATTTTCCTTGTGGTGTATAGGGAGCAAGTGGCGCAGTGAATGCTATCATGTTACTCGATATATTCCTCTTCCCAAAATCTACGATCTATCTAAATTTTTTTATACCAGTTCCTGCTATCTTACTGGTAGGTTCACTTCCAAGTTATCTTTTAAGAAGAGATGATGATTGTCTATGGTTAATTTGGCAATTATTTACAAAGTACTTTTGGTGAATCTCATTCTAGGGTATCTTTCTCATTGGAAAAGACATGCTGCGAATACTGGAGGTATGATATTCTTGTCTCCTTTTCATATAGTCTCCCTTGTAACAACTCAGTCTTAATAACCATTATGATCAATCTTTTGTCGTGATGAAACCCAACATAAAGAAAGCTTTTTCTTCGCCTGTAGCCTTAAGTTTTGTTTTGAAATATATGTTAAGCCCTTGTGTATATCCTTGAGAATGAAAAATAATAAGAGCACAACCATGATTGTGTATGGCGGCATTATCCTAAACATTGAGATTGGATTTTGTTGGTTTCACGTTTCATCAGTTTGAAGACATACATATCAACCCTGGCTAACCTTTTTTTCCAAATTTAGAAACCTTGTGGTTTGCATATATGGCATTCAATCGATAAAAGGGGCATCAAATGTGATTGTCTCAAAAAAATCAACTAATGTGTATTTTATCAGATGGTCTTGGTCCTTGATGTGTACCATTTTTTTGTTTCAGGGAAATAGTCAAATCTCAGGATCTGCTCACCTGGGTGGTGCTGTTGTGGCTGCCATATCATGGGCACGAATTAGGAGGGGACGCTTCTGAATTCATGATGGATTTGTGAATATCTGACTCCAGCTTTTGTGAATTTCTGACTCTCTCTCTCTCTACACAATTTTTCATTGGAAGAAAGTAGGATGCAATATATCTTTTGGTGTTAAACTCTCAACATTTACTTAATGTAGGATGCTGTTGAAATTTGTTTTTCCTAGTTTGCCGTTGAATTTGATTCTAAAAATATTGGTACTTCAAAGTGCTACTTAGTATTCCTTTCCGTATCTTTAAAGTTTGGAAAGGAGGGGCAAGAGAGGAAAAGAATATTCATTCACAATACAAGTGCTATTTGACATCAATTTTTATTTTAACTTCTATTATATGCAAGGCAAATTATTATTTTGTTCTTAATTTTTGATATGATCCTCTGCATTTGAGATGAAGCTATGTCGATATAATCTGAACTGTGTACTATGTAGTCACTGTATGAGATTGAGTGCATTGGTTATTCCTGGTTCTTCCAAGTAGTTGTGAACTGATGTCTATTAAATGGTAATCAGATAAACTGGAATTTGGAGTTGGTTTGAAAAGGATCCAGATCATTTTCTCCTGCTAATGATGTCTCTGCGCTTCCCGGACCGGCCAGGCGCTCGGTTCCATTTCTCTCTCGCTCTCTTCCCCCTCCTGTCATCTTCCACACCCCTCACATCACCTCTAGTTGCCATGTTTGGTGTCATATGGCAAAGTAACGAGGCTGAGCTGCCTGTGTTCATATTTATAACATTTCGGATGATCTTTCAAGCAGGTTTGAGAGAATTGAGTAGAGGAGTTTGTTTAACACAAGTTTTTTTTTTATCCTTTTAAATAATATCATATAAAAAATTTGCATGTAGAGAGGAGGTTGATGCCACTTATCCCAAGTAATCAAAATTTAACAATAGTAAATAAAAGGATTGAAATAGAGCTACAACACGATAAGAATCATACAAAGAATCAGAACTGGAATGCAACTATCAATGTACAGAGAACCAAAACCAAGAAAACATACTTCATTATATGTGTTACCATTTAATCATTCAAGATTGGAATTTCCTTGAAGAACCTTGTATATGTAATTTTTTGGACCACCTGAGAAAGATGCAAAGACAACCGGGCATGGCTTAATTTTTAGCTTCTCCATGTACGTATCATAATAGAGCAATTGTGCCATGACTTGCACCAAGGCCCTCCCTCTTTAAGTCCTCCATATACAACAAAATTGAAATGGAACAATGATTATTCTTAAAAGCCTCTAAACACTTTGCTTGTCTGTTAAAGCACTAAGCTTGATTTACACTTGGTGTTACAAGTGGGATTTGTCCCTTGTCAGATATAGATGAAAAATTGAATGGATATATATGAGTAGGGTGTTAGTCCTGTCTAACAGTTTAAGCTTTCAGGTCGGATCGCAAAATACCAGTCTATTAGTGGGTATAAGAGGCAGACACCAGTCCGCACCCGTTTCGGAGGAGTCTGACTCTCACTATTGTTAAATAGTGAATATTAAATTTAAATTTACATATATAATCGGGTCTTGGGGTTTCAATTATTTTACCATATCCGGCCCAAACTCATTTAGGGGCTACCAAATTCGCCCCATTAGAGACGGGACGTCAGGACAGGATAGAAACCCGCTGGGTTGGAGGAAATTATCATCCCTAGTCTCGAGTGAAACCCGCTGGGTCATGGGAAGTTGTCATCCCTAGTCTCAAGTGTCCCGCCCTAGATAAGCAGGATGGCCCAACCGCAACGTTCGGATTGAGAAAAATGTTACGAGTGGGACTTTATCCTACATCAAATCCCCCCTTCTTTTTTCTTTTCTCACCTCTCTCCCCCTCTCTCTCTCTCTCTCTCCACAACAAAGCAAATCTCTCTGCACAAACATAACTACGCATATATTTTAGTCATTTATTAAGCAATTGTTTATCCACTACAAAGTAAACTTGTGTCTTATTCCTTGCAAACCTAAAAGCAAAATGTAGATTGAATCTGAAATGTCCCCTCAATTAGTAATCATCTCTTCTCGACTTATATGGAGTTGATCAAAACTTTTATTATTGAAGCAATTCAACCAAAGATGTTTTCTTGCTAATTTTTATTAGATACTTGATTAATCATCATTAGTATATCGAGAACATAAAATTCGCCTAAATAAAATAAAATAAAATAAAATAAAAATAAAAATAAAAAAGAAAAAGAAAAAATGATTACAGCTAAGAAAAGGATTTGTTTTGCTACGAAGGGAGAGAGGAAGAGAGGTAGATGATCTAATTAGAAGGAAAGAAAAAAAATGGGAAAGAAACGGATAGGGCTTTAATTAAAGGGAAAAAACAAAAAAAAAAAAGCATTTAACGTGTAAGAAATGGGTAACACCATCTTTAAACTTTTTTATTTTTAAAACAAGTGTTCGAATTACATTACAACACATCAGCTATATATTTTTAAAAACTTCAATGTGATGGCAATGGGGTGGAGTTGGGGTGGGTTTGGCTAAACCCCTACCCCACCCTGTTAGAAAATTCGTCATGCCAACTTCGACCATACTTCAAAATGAGTTTTTAGTTGGTATGTCATCTCCGCCCCTACTTTGATAGTCAAAATATCAACTCCACCCCGCATACATTTAACTACGGAACAGGACTGGTTTTGCACTTTTATTATGTAATAAAAAAAAATTAAAATTAAAATTAACCTAATATGTTCAAATTGAACTGATAAATAAGTTGAAGAAACTTTTAAATTACTAAGTAAGTTAATGTATTAAATGAATTTTTAATTATTTTATCATATGGGCCCAAATAAATTTTGGGAGTACTAAATTCGCCCCCATTAAAAGATGGGCCGAAAACTCGACAGTGGAGAGAAATTGGCATCCCTAAACTTCATCCTGCATATATGCACCATATATGTTCAAGTGAAAATTGAGAAAAAAATTGAAAGAACCGTTTTGTCAAAACAATAATAATAATAATATTTTTTTTATTTTTCTATACTCATTGACAAGATATAAAAAGACACTTTAGAAAAAACAGTCCTTTTATAATTTAGTTTTCCAAAAACATAAAAGTTAAGCCGGGTTAAACTTTTTTCTTTTCTGTTTTTTTTAACTTTTATGTCTTTCCAGAAAAAAGACATAAATATTCATATTTCTTTACTGTTATAGTTTTTTTTTTAGCCTGGCTTTATTATTGTAGTTGAACTATATATAATTCCTGCAACCCAGGTTGTAAAACTCGGCGGCAGTGTATATATTTTTTCGGTAAATAAAAAAACTAAAAATGAGATAGAGAATCAAAGTTTTTTTTTTTTTTCTTTTCCTTAACGTTTAATGTTTTTTTCTTTTTCTTTTCCTTAATTTTTTTTTTTTTTTTTTTCAGAAAAGGCATATCATAATACTTTGTAGGAAGGAAGGGAGAAGTATGAAAATAAAATAAGAAACTTTTTTTGAACTGTATAGATAATACAAGAAAAGAAAAGATAATACGAAGAATGTGCCGTTTTTCCTTCATTATAAATTTTGTTGGGATGAAATAATAGTGAAAGAAAAATGGACTACAAATATGACTAGACATAAATTTTAAATTATAGTATTATCTTAAATTACACAAATTTTAAATTATAATATTATCCACTACGATTCTCATCAATACTACAAATATTACTAGACATAATGTTAAAAATACCATCTAACTGAAAAAATAAAAATAAAAGATCCTATCTCTTCCACATAGATGTCCCATCTATCTCTTCTTTTCTCGTTTTATCCATTTTTTTTTTTCTTCTTTCCTGTCAAACTTTAAAATTGCAATAATATCTCTTCAAATTTAAACATCATTGTTATTCTAAAAATTTTAACCTCCTAAAAATAACTTAAAAATTTATATTTTAGTCCGTATATATTTTCAACGGAAGCAATTGTCTGACCTAATGTTGAACATCACTCCCCCATTAATGGAGCCTAATGCCCTGTTTCGGTAGAGAAAAAATAATAATAATAAATAATAAATAATAATAATAATAATAATAATTAAATTGAGGGAGAGGAAAAGGGATAGATGACATCCTTATATGTATTTCTTTTTTTGTTCGGTTGAATAGAAAAAAATAATATAAACTCATAATTTACTATATTTGTTAGTAGGGAAGGAAATAGAAAGTTTTAATTATTTTTATACTTCTCCCATTTTTACCAATGAAAATTTATAAAAGAAGAAGGATGGTTCTTAATCTCTTCTCTTTTCTTATATCATCTTTACAGAACAAATAAAATTTGTTATTTACTTCCTATTTTCTTTCCATACCACTTTCTTCCTCCTATCCAACACAACACAAGCAATTTTTGTATACTATAAGAAGGCCTCTATAATTTCACTTAGCATGGCAATTATTAATTTTATTTTGGGAAATTAATTAAGCCAATTTTATTTTGAAGGATACAAATACGATGTGTCTAACAAATCTTTGTTGACATTCAACAACTACGGTGCTCAACCCTTTTTCAGTCTATGACCTATCGCCTCTTCTCTCTCTAGAATTGCGCCTTTCTGAGGACTGCGAAGGACGAAGACAACGGTGTATTTTCCTAGGTGAAGAAGGTAGATTTTTTCTCTCTCTAAACTCTCTCTCTCTAGATTTTCTCTATCTGCAATAGCATATCTGTACAATTACGTCCTTCTAAGATCTCTTTGATGTATTTTCCCTTAAAGGTTTTTCTTCTGTAACTTTCTCTGTTTTTTTTTTCCTTCTATAAGGAAGTACCAATTTTTATCACCAGTTCGACATAGATTTTCCTGTTTATTGTTGTCCTTAATATTTGAATCTCCTAGGGAATTTATAGTATTCCAATATGGATACTCTAATGTTAATGAAGGATTGTTTATTTTTCTCAATTCTATCTCTTTTGGTACTTTTTTTATTGTATCGGTTAGATTAGTGTGATTTCTTAACTTATTTTAAGATTCAAGATCTGATCTTTGTCTCTCAGTTATGCTAACTTTTTTAGTTGTTGAGTTCAGTTTGAGTTTATTATAACAACTGTGTATATATATATATTAATGAAGGATTGTTTATATATCTAAAAAAAAAAATGGACAGATCTAAAATATTTGGTTTTTGATCATTTAGTTTATCCTTTTCGAGATCTAAAATTTGTTTAGAAATTTCTATCTTCTGTTTCAAATCTAAAGAAATTATTTAAATTTAAATAGTTTGGAATTAAGATCTGTTGAGCTTTGCTTGGATCAATTGATATGGTTGTTGTTTTCATACTCACAAACGACTTAGATTTATGACCTGAATTGAATGCAACGACTGTTATTTGGTGGAAGTCTTGTTATTTATGAATAAATGTGGTTTCTTTCCAACATAAACTAGAGATACTATTGTTAAAATATTGTAACTCTGCAATAAAACCTCTGTAGTTTCTTATCCCATGTCTATTTGGAAAACTAAAAATTTGTGAGATAATGGTAAATATTGCTCGAACAACTGAGAGAAGAATGGAGTTCATTCATAATATTCAGGATTGTACATTTAATTTGAGACTATGGATGAGAGCGGCAGAGGATTATAAACGTCCATGTTTTTTTCTTTTACATGTATGTGTTTTTTTTTAATTTACTTTTTCCATAATAAAAAGTAGGAGCAGGGAGTATAATCTTTTGACTCATTGTTTTCGTTCTTGTTATGGTTGGATTTGCTTGAGCACGCAATAACTTCTCGATTGTTCGTTTGTGAAGTATTAGTTTAATCAAATATCATTTTCTCACATGTGGTGTTAATCAAATATCATTAACTGTTCCATTAGGCATGTGGTTTCTGCCATGTTTATACATAAAAAAAAGTGATTCATTTTATGTAAAATGATGTTTATTTTTTTGTTTGTTTTGATTACTTCAGCTCCTAACCAGTACTAAAATAAAGAATTTAGAACTTGTTGATACTGGTCCAAATAAAACAAGGAGTGAATGTTTGATGGATGGGGATGCTAGGATTTTAACTGAAAGTCCTTCTGGTAAGGAATGCACCTCAAATAAAGGTTTAAATCTTGAAGATAATGGGGAATCCAATTCATGGGAGAAAAAGGAAAAGAGAAAGAAACAGAAGAGACAAAATCCCCTGCAAATAAATTCTGGTACAGTTGATTGTATTTTAGAGACACGTTTAGAAACAATAGAATCTTCAAACTTGAGTTCAGGGCCGAAAAGGAAAAGGACCCAAATGGAACGGTGTCCAAATATGAGTGAAATAGAGGTTGATATTACTTCAGTTCAAGTAAGGAGTTCCCAAACCGGTAAGAGAATGAAAGAATTTGAAACATATGATAGGGAAAAAGGGAAAGTGTCTTCTTCTGTAGTAAACAGTTTGGAATCCCTCAGTGTTGGCTCCTCAATGCTAAATAATTTAGAATATAGTTCTTTGGCCAGCTCAGAGGACAGCTCAGATGAGATACTTGCATCTGTTTGTTCAAAGAATATGTTAGAGAGAGAAGTGGGGGTAGTGGATAGCACGGTTAGCACCTTGTTGCAGGTTGTGGAAGATGTTTCCATCAAGAAATTCTCTGGTGGTTGTTCAGATGGTGCACCTGCATATGAAGAAAGCAAAAAGAGTTTAGATGTTGAACCTACATATGAGGAAAGCAAGAAGAGAATTGAGATGGCAACCTTAAAACTGACCATAGATGAAGATAGTTTTGTGAATAATGGTTCTTTGGAAGAAAATTTAGTTGAAACTACAATTTTTAAGGGGGACAAATCTTTTATTGATGCATCTATTTGTGAGCAGCATCCCAATAAGATTTTGGAAATACAATATGGGATGGAAAATGCAATTTGTTCATCTTCACATTTCGCTGCAATAAAAGATAATCAAAGGGGAGTTGAGATGCGAGCTTCAGAACATATCATAGATGAAGATGATTTTGTGAATAATGGCTCTGAGTTAGACTCTCTACATGAAAATTCTGAACAAGGTAACGGCGGTAAAATAAATATTATGCAAAACAAGGATAAAGAAAATTTGGTTAAAGAGGATAAATCTTTTGTTGATGCATCTCCCAGTGATATTTTGTGTAAGCACAATGTCAAGAAGGTTTTGAAAATACCATCTGAGATAGAAAATGCAATTTCTTCACCTTCACAGCAGTTGGATGCAATGAAAGATGATGTCCTAGTCGTTAGCAACTCATTATGTGCAATTCCACCAGAAAGAGTTCTTGCTTGCCCTTTTAAAAAGAAGCTTCTCATCCTTGATGTGAATGGACTTCTTGCTGATATTGTTTCGAATGTGCCTGATGGATATAAAGCTCACACAATAATAGGACAAAAAGCAGGTGAGAACTGAGAACTAACCAAAACATTGATTTTTAAAATGAATTTAATTATTTGTTGTCAAACAATTTTGTTTTATGTTCTAACATGACATTCACTTGTTTTATCAGTTTTCAGGAGGCCCTTCTGTGATGATTTTTTGGAGTTTTGTTTTGAGAGATTTAATGTTGGTGTATGGTCATCAAGAACCAAGTATTCTTCAACTTAGCCTCTAATAATTTAAATTTTCTTTTTTCTAGTCAATTCCATTTTTAAATATATTTTTTTCCTTGCATGTTTGCTTATTTTGTTTTTATTTACTATATTGATTTGTTCCTTAATCATGATATTAATTTTTTTTTCTGTAGGAGAAATGTGGATATGGTTCTCGAATTTCTTATGAGAAAAACCAAGGGCAAGTTGGCATTTTGCTGGGTAAGCTGTTTAAATATTTTACTTTATAATTTTTATCATTATATTGTGCATTTCAATTTTTGAATGATTGCGCTTAATAATCTTATTTTTTATATATTTGTAAAATTGAAAGATCTTAAAAGTACGATTATTTCTTATGATTTTGTAATAGTAAGCTGCTAAAAAGAGTTACCACTTTCACTCATGTTATGAGGCGTAAGTGTTTTAATATTTTATTCCCACATGTTTTTTCATTTTTAGGAAAAATTTCTGATCAACTTGTTAGGATGGTATACAATTTGGATTTCAACCTTCTGAGTATTTTTAATGCTAACCATGTCTAAGCAAAATGCAAATGCTCATTAATGGGTGGATGAATCTATTAAATACTTATACTAATGTTAGTGGTTCTGAACATGTTGAATATGGATTTTTTTACAGGATCAATCGCACTGTACTGATACAGGTTATAATACTGTTGAGAATAGAGAGAAGCCTATGCTATTAAAGGAACTCAAAAAATTATGGGAAAAACATGAGCCAAATCTTCCTTGGAAGAGGGGAGAGTATAACGAATCCAACACGCTCTTGTTGGATGATTCTCCATACAAGGCGTTATGCAACCCTGTAGGTTCATCAACCTGTCAAATTACCTTATATGTTTCTATGTTCAACCTAATTCTAACACATTTTGATTTATTCTAATTTACTATTTTCTTTCATTTTCAGTTGCACACTGCAATCTTTCCTTATTCCTACCGTTACAAGGATGTAAAAGATAATTCATTGGGTGAGTTAACCTTATAGCTCCACCGTATTATTACTTGAGGTTTACCTATTGCAATTCTAAAAAACACTTTGTAAATAATTTTATTTATTCTAATTGTTTTTATGTAGCCAATAATTTAAGTTATTTTGTGATTTACAACAGCACCAGGAGGTGATCTTCGGGTTTATCTTGAAGGATTATCTTTCGCTGAAAATGTTCAAAAATATGTGGAGCAAAATCCATTCGGACAACGCCCCATCACGGAAAGAAATTTATCTTGGTCCTTTTATCTCAAGGTTATTCGCAGCGTCACATTCCAACAGAAAATTAATACTAATTCTTCTCCGCGTGGTGATAGCATTGGACGCTGTGGAACATCCCATGTATAGTTGTACGAACTGAATTTTTTTATTTTTATTATTATTATTTTACAAATGCACTCTTGGTGTAGAAAAATGCTGGCGAGTGTTGTTAATGTTGTGACAATTTTTCTTTTTGACAAAATGGATTGAATGTAGTGTTGTTGATGGTGATCTCTAAAGAAGCCACCATGTGGCAACGATTCATATATATATTTTTTTTGGCCAACCATACCCTCTAGTGTGATATGTTAACGTAGTAGTTGACTTTCAAGCAGAAAGATAAATACATTTCTTGTACAAATGAACCCATGGATTTCTACTACTTTATGAAATCCATCATGGAGATGGTTAGTTGGTTAGTATTTGCTAGTGATTTATTAGTATAAACTATTGCTAAATAGTTTTTTTGGGTTTAAAATGTGTATTTAGATAAAGAGGAATTTAGTTCTAAACTTATGGATGATTTAGGGTTTAAAGTTAGACTGAAAGACCTTTGACACATTGATCTGTGAGAAATTGGATGACTTAATATTATAAACTCTACCCGCTCTCTATCTTTTAATATATATTCTTTAATTTCATATATATTGTATAATTTAAAAATGTTATGAATAATTTTTTTTTTTATAATTGCTAAAGCTAATGGCTCTAAATCAAGAGAGAATAATTGACTCTTGTTTCCAATCTTGGCCAAAAAAAAAAAAAAAAAAATCTAGTTAGTGAGATATAGTGGATTCAAAACTTTGGTATTTTGAATAATTGATACAAAGACGTTAGAACACGTATTGTCTAGATTTTGGTTAAATTTAGTTTAATTATAGCTTAAGGAACTACATATAGGAGTTGAGACTTAGGACGAATTCATGTGAAAGTATATATGAATTGAAAAGCATAATTACTTGCACCAAGAAAAAAGAAAAAAATTTAAAAATTGTTGTTAAGGGTGGTGGCAGCCGCCCATTAGTTATAATTTTTGTTAAAATCTTTAAAATGTTCCCATTCAATTTTCCATAATACTCTAATATATATTCTTGTTGTTCAAACTCATCCTCTCTCACGACATGACGATCACGGCTTAAAACCATTTATAAAATCGACTTAAGGCTTGATACTCTTCTATTGTTTTTCACAAAGATACTTCCCATGAGAATTATTTTTTGTATAGTCGGATTAAAACCATTAATGTTGTAGTAATCGTCTGAGTCCTTGTGTTTTTTGTGGATGTCCGGTTGGACCGTTGAGTAGAAACAGACTTGGACTAGACCTTATGCCTAGTTGCTAAAATTAATTTGGTGATAAACGTATAAAACATACAGTTAAAACTTTTACTAATTTGGTAGAAGAGTTTTCTTGAACTGTGTAATGCATAAACAATACTGGTTTATTTGCGATGCAGTTTAAGGAAGCACGAAAATGGAACACAGGAACAGGTTCAGAAAAGCAAGACACGAATATGACAGGAATAACGTTAAAAAAATAACAATTCGATATATTAAATAATAATTTTTGCTCATTTTAATCACATAATCATAATGACAGGACTGGGCTATTAGCGTAGACCTTTCATTATATATGTTCCATTATTTTGGAGCTATATTGAGTTATTGCTTTAACTGGAGGAGACTAATGGCCAGATAAATCTCACAGTCCGTGTGTATAGATTGTTCAGTTTGATAAGTAGCACTGTTTTAACCACTGCTCAATCAGCCTTCTTGAAAGAGGACTTCACACTCGTACACACACAACAACCAAAACAATGGAGGAAAATGATTAAACAAAAGTAATCGTATCTAATGGAATGTAGATTCCCTTTCTACCTTCAAACGCATATGAAAAATGACACATATGTGTCCAATATGGCGCTGAGATCCTCTCTGGTGCAGCATAAGTGTTGTACCGCATCTAACGGATCCCAACCTTTACACGTGTCGAGACCCACACTTGTGAGCTGGGATCCGTTAGATTCAGTACAACCCACATGTGTAAAGTTGGGATCTGTTGGATGTGGTACAGCAGAGATCCCACCTCGTGGAATATGATGGTTATATTATCCACACCTGTTACGAAGCTAAGCCTTTACAAAGATCAACCTGTAAAGGAGGAATGTCAAAAAAAAAAAAAAAAAAAAGTTTCAAACTGAGTGACCAATGCCTTAAAAGGTAAGTACTATGCTTCCATTGAAGGTTACAATTATTTCCACCATATACCAAAATAGGGAGCACTGAATAACTCGCGGTTATACTAAACAAAGGAATGAAAAATACAAAAACCACATAACTGCTAGGTGTAACACATATCTTTGTTTGTTGAGATCAATCTGAATTCTGCAAGTTGGATAAAAAATTTGAAGCTGCAAAAGCAGCTGATCCACCAACCACACAAACCAGAGCAACGACAACCTGCAATGCTATTTCCCAAGGGTACTCCTCTGGCACCAAATAGACACAAAAAGGGCCCAAAATCAGCAAACCCAGGCTGAGGCTTAAGAGTGCTGTAGGGGTTCCCAGGTCAGTCGCTGCTGAAAGAACCCCTAGTTCTTCTGCTTTCGAGAGGAGACCTAGCTTCTCTATTATAGATAACGTAATCCCGAACTTCTCTGCTGCTGACAGTAGGCCAGCTTTCTCAGCTTTGGTTAGAAGTCGCAGCTGCTCCACCCTTGTTAGTAGCTTGACTGGTGATGTGGGGGCAGAGTAGCTGTACCTGGGCTGCTCACCAGGAGGGAAAACTGTGGAACCCTGCATTTGTTATCATACATGAAGCATGGAAATGGACACGAGATATGATATGGATATGACGATGCAACAAATTCTTGAAAAATAGGATGCACAAAAACACCACAAAATATATATCCATCTATCTGTATTTATTTTTTTTCTTAGCTGGTACTCACACACGCATGCCTCCACTGAGGCTCAAACCCTGACCTTCCTTTGAGAAGTAGGGGCCTGGAACTGCTAGACCACTGGCTCATTGGTTCATCTATCTATCTGTAGCTATATCTATACTGCTATTAGAAGTGTATAGACTTCCTATTGTTATAGACATTCTTTACTCAAAAAGGTCCCATCTTCCGTGCATCTACATGACTTAGGAATGATTCTTCTTTTCTTTTTGTATTATATTCTTTTTGGATTTTAAATTTAAAAACCTCATTTGACATGATTTAGTGATTTAAATTGCCCAATTATAAATTGGAAACATTTTTTAATTTCAAATTGGAACCAATTCTTTGAGTTAACTGTGCATTGGAAGATAGATTATTTATTATATACATTATTAGATTTTTTTATATATAAAAGTGTATAGCATTTTTAATTTTTATATACGCTTTTTAAATTTTTAACCTTTTTATAAAAGTGTATAGCACTTATCAATATCTATCCATACTACTTATAAAAGTGTGTAGAACTATTAATTTTAACATATGTTTTTTTTAATTTTTACATTTTTAAAATTAGGTTAACAACTTCTAGCTAGGTACCAATTGCAATTAAACAGTTGTGCATTTTCAAGTCTCTTCCTAATTTGTTGTGGCCATCACATCTCTTTGTATTAGTGATTTCACTACCAATTGCTATTCAACAGTTGTGACTTTTCCTAATAGAATTTTAATTTTTATTGTTATCTATAAGCTAATTTTTATTGATATCTCTAACAGTAATTTTTCTTTTTATACAAGTTTTCTTAAAATGTGCATCATACAAGTGCTCTTAAAATGTGCATCGTAAGTGCTAGCTTGACATTTAAAATGCAGATGTGGGTTAGGAGTTCGGTTTTTATTTGTGGACAAAAAGAAAAATGCAAATAGAATTTAGAATTTGTGGGAATGTGTAACAATGTAAATGAAATTATGCTGCTAATAGGCCAATATGAACATACATGCATCCACCAGAACCATAAACATATAATCACAGCAGAGTCTCAGATTTGTACGTAATGGTTAAATTAAAATTTCAAAGTAAACCTGCAGTTTTATACTATAAAAAAGTCTATTTAAGCTTAAGAAGTAATTTTTATATCAATCCTTTTATAGGCAGCTAACCCTGCTCCAAAAAATGCCTTCCCAGTTTCCACACTCCATACCATTTGTTAGAATTACAAAATGTCCCTGTTCCATACCTTCCAAGTTCCTACAATCTCAAGCATGGATGTAAATCCCCCTTCTTTCTTGTCCATCTCTCTTCACTATGTTTCCTCTAAACAAACTTTATTATGGTTGATCTCTTCTTCTTCAGCTTTTCTTCCCCTTCTTCGGCTTTTCTTCCCCTCTCTCCCCTCCCCCCCCCCCCCCCCTTTTCTTTTCTTCCTCTGATTCAACTTTACTATTTCAGTTTTCTCTCTCTTTAGCATGGCGATAATTGGTTAGGTTCCATGATCCTTGTGGAGGCTCGAATCTGTTCCAAGGGTGGATGAAACTTTATGCAAAAAAGAGAAATTTCTGATAGCTAGCAGTGTCAATTGGAGGGTTGGAGAAGATTAAGCAAGTAATGAAGTTCTCAGGTCAAGATGCTTACATTGACATATGGAGCCACATGGTATTTATAGGTGACTCACCTATGCGGCAGGCAAGGATCGCATGTCAAGATTACAACGAGATTGAGAAGAGTTGGAATGCTCGGCCAAGATCAGAGAATACTGATCATGCAGCAATAAGTTATTTATAGAGGCTGACTGCTGGTAATTTTCGTAGGCCTGATTCAATTAAGGATGATAAATTGGTTGCTTGGTCTGTGTCTTTATTGTGTTTCCTCTTTAGTATTCAAGGTCAGAGTAATCTACCTTAGTCGAGCTCCTACATTGAGCTCAAGTAAATTGGGTTTTCTCTTATTCTGGTGACCAACTTATTTTAACTCTCTTACCTAGTTAAGTGGTACCGGTGCAACCTGACTCGAGTGTTACAATGAGCCAAGGTTCAAAGTATTGGTGTGACACAGTAGGAGTTATAATTCAAACTATTTATAGAGGGAAAGGATGAAGTTCTCAAGCACAGTGTGAATGATAGAGAATTTATGTAACTCTTATCCTTCTTGGATCCATCTTTCAGTTGACCACAAGGAATCAATTCAAAGGGTAAGGCCTGGATAGAGATGAGTTCAGCACTTCGGGCTTCTTTTACTGTTGGGACAGTGGTTTTTGCGCATAGAAAAGATCTTTGGCAAGTCCGGCTTGTGTCTTAATGTGATATCTTAGGCCATGGCCCTTGAATCCTATAGTCATGTCTCATGGGGAACATATGTTCAACACTCCAATCAGAAGTACACTATGATTATGAATCACCACCTGCGCACATGTGTGCCACTAAGTCGTGCTACGGGCCACCCAAGACCTCAATTGCCAAGTGTCATGTTATGATGGATGTAAAAATATCCCGCGACAATTTTTACCCATGACACCCCAAGTTTTTGTAACAATATTACCAAATGTATCCAACATATGAGTTTGAATCATATCATTTTCTCTGTACGATATAATACAAAAGAAGAGAGGAACCCCAATTCAGTATAAACACTTGATATGAAAGAAATCAAATTCATATGAACTGGAATCCAATATCAGTAACTAATCAGCCGAAAGTGAAGAATAGTTGACAGAAAGAGAACGAAACAGATGCAGTGAGGAGAGAGCAGATTATAGATAGGTTGATCTGATGAAACTTTTCCCTAGTAAATAATAGAGGAATAGAAATGGAGAGAAAGTTGAAGAGAGATGAAGAAGGGAGATAAAGATACGTGCAGAAGTGCTACTGAAAGGTCGGTGAGAAAGTATTTTCATTGCTTTTCGTTTTATTGGCCTTGAAGAACAGGATTGAATGCCATATTGATCATGCAACAATCAGGCCCAATGGAATCAGTTTCCTTACTTGTTGGGGTTGAATGCTGGTAATTTTCGTCCTATTAGTGTGGCCTGCTTCAAGTAATGATGACAAATTGGTTGCTTATTCTGTATCTTTATTACTTTTCCTCTTTAGTAGTCAAGATCAGAGTAAACTAACTTAGCCAAGCTCCCACACGACCTTAAGTAGTTGGGTTTTCTCTTAGTCGGGTGACTAACTTATTTAACTCTTTTGACAAGTTAAGTGGTGCAACCTGACTTGACACTTACAATGAGCCAAGGGGTTTAAAGTATCGGAGGGGCATAGTAGGAGCTAGAATTCGAACTATTTATAGAGGTCAGGATGAAGTTCTCAAGGTTGATGTGTACTATGAAGTAATGTTACACTTATCCTTCTTTGATCCATCTTTTAGTTCAGTGCAAGGAATAAGTTCAGACGCTCAGGCCTCGATAGAGCTGTTGGATGAGTTCAACAGTTCAGGCTCCTTTTAGTGTTTGGACAGTGGTTTTTGAGCATGGAAAAGATCTTTGGCAAGTCCCACGCGGCTTAATGTGATATCTTAGGCCATGGCCCTTGAATGCTATAGTCATACCTCACGGGGAACATATGTTCAATCCATCCAATCTCAAGTACACCATGATTATGAATCGCCACCTACTCACAAGTATGCCACTAGATCGCGCTATGGGCAGACCAACACCTCAATTTCCATGTGTTGTGTTATGATGGATGTAAAAGTTTTCCACGGTGATTTTTACCCATGACACCCTAAATTCGTATAAAAATATTAGACACTATAATTTCAACCTAAGAAACCCAACTTATGAGTTTGAATCATGTCATTTTCTCTTTATGTTAGTCATATATAAAAGAAGAGAGGAACACCGATTCAAACGCTTGACATGAAGAAATCAAATTGTATAAAGTAGAGTCCAATATCAGCAACCAATCAGCCAAAAGTGAAAAATAGATGACAGAAAGAGTAAGAGACACATGCAGTGAGGGGAGAACAGATTATAGAAAGGTTGCTTTGATGAAGTTTTTTCGTAGTAAATAATAGAGGAAGAGAAATGGAAAGAGTTGAAGAGAGAGGAAGAAGGAATATAGAGTCATAGACACATGCAGAAGTGTGAGTTACTGATAGGTCAGTGAGAAAGTATTTTCATCACTTTTCATTTTAATGCAAACGAGGTGAATCTCCCAACAAGGCAAGATTTCAGAGTCGATTCACGGTTAGTGGTGCTGTGATCATCCACCTTAAGAACAAGCCCTCTGTCTGTGAACACACTATCCACTTCTCCCTTCAGATCCAGTCGCTGGAGACTCACAACCTCAAGAAACGACGGCTTCTGACCTTCCAAAGCTCTCATGGACCTCAGAAGAATGCTTGGTTTCCATTGAAAATTTGAAATGAATGAATTTAATTTTAATTATTTGAGGATTATAGTTTAAATTCAAATTCAATTAAATTTAACATTGGTGAGGTCTATTGCCAAAAGAAATTAAGATATACAATGCATAGAAGGATTTCACAACCCTGTATGTATAGATTTCAAATAATAAGGTGCGACGAATTATTTGAAATCCATGCCGGCAAGATTCCAGTTGCACTATAACTAAAACAAAATGTATCCTATACATCTAATCTAGCATCCTTTGGAAAGCTGAATTTAACTTCAATAGTCAATTTTTAAATTTAAAAAAAAAAACTCAAATCCCTTCCCCCTTATGTTATACACTTTATACCCTCTTCAAATTCTATTAATACTATGAGCACCATGGTGCACAAATACAATGTTGATTACTCTTTTTTTTTTTCTTACAAGTTACATGCACTCATCCACAATTGCATACTATGGAGACTTATACCCAAGATGCCTATATTTGTTTGGTGGTTTTGTACAAAAGGTACATGAGATTGTTATTTTCTTCATTTCCAATAAATTCATAAAAGGATACTGAAGGAGATGATGACCTTGAAGAACAAGGAACAACATATTCAGAGGCAACCATGAATGAAACCCAATTTCGTAAAACCTTATTCCAAATTTTTGGTAAATTAACATGACCCGGAAATCGGAATTGTGAGAAAAATAACCAAAATCCAGATTTCCTTTTTCCAAAAATAAGGAAATATACTCCCACCTGCATTCAAATGATGCTCTCTATCCCTCAAAGACAAATAAACAACACAGACCATGGATGAAATTCAACAAGTAATCTACACCAAACAAATCGTAGGAGATATCATGAACATATACGCATACCTATACACAAACACACACACTATTATCATATATGATGTATCCCCAAAAAAAAAAAAAATTGTGAAAAACTAAAAATGGTAGATATAGAACCATGTGGAAAAAGAGGGATAATAGGATAAACTTACCTTCTTAGAGCTGACAGTTTTAGTGGCTGAAGGAACAGACTTCTGGGCAGCCATTGATCTGATGAGAAATGGTGTGGAGTGTTGAGAGTGATCTGTTGTTCTTGCTTTGGCTCTGTTAGCTGAGGAATATATCAACGGTGTTCCTCTGCTGCTACAACACCAACCCATGCCTTCCATACTTCTCTCTCTCTCTCGATTTTTGCTCTCTTGTGTTTCAGATTAACTCTGGAATTTTGAGGGTCTCAAAACCATATATCACTCCACTAGTAGTGATGGCCAAAGGAGGTTCGTGGATTTAGTTGTAGCTGTTGGGCTTGCACGTGTCAACACTTGGTTGGTTGTGCTATTGCCATTTTGTTCCCATCCCAAAAAGTTAATTTGGGTGTCTGTTTGGATGTCCGTGTATTTCATTCCCAGCCGCCTCGGATTTCCCTTTTGCAAACAAATTGGTTTTGTTTGGAAGCACGCGACCTAAGGCCATGCTAAAATTAGATATACGGGAGAAAAAACAAAACAAAAAAGGTGGGATGAAACATTATAGGAAAGAAATTGAATGTGTGTGTGTATATATATATATATATATAATTTTTTTTTTCATTCTTTCTTAAAGAATATAATAAAATATAAACTTATTTTATTTTTTATTTTTATCATAATATTCAATAATATTTATAGTATTACTGTATAATTTATAGAGGATAATATTGTAATTTAAACTTATATAATTTATAGTATTATTTAATTTAAAATTTTTATAATAGTTCACCTGTCTTCTTTTTTTTTCATTCATTTTTTTAAATAAAAATTTGTAAAGGAAGTTAGTTCATTCATTCCTATTTTCTCTTCACGCTTCTTCCTTTCTACTTAACACAATATAAAGCAAAATTTCTAAATTAGATGGTCTAATATTTAATAAAATATTAATATTTTTTATTCAATGAAATATAAAAACATTATTTGCATTTTTAGCATTAGAAATAATTATTTATTTTTGTAGGTAAGTGAAGTATGAGAGTCTAAAAGAAATACAATGTTGAACAATTATTGATATATACAAGAGATAGTGATTTCATTTTGTAGATAATTAATGTAATTTTTTTTTGTCATATTAATATAATGTTGATTAATTAATATTTTTGATAAGTGCAACGTTGATTAATTAATAGAGATAGCTATTTCATTTTGTAGATAATTAATGTAACGTTGATTAATTAATATTTTTGATAAGTGCAAGTTGATTAATTAATAGAGATAGCTATTTCATTTTGTAGATAATTAATGTAACGTTGATTAATTAATATTTTTGATAAGTGCAACGTTGACTAATTAATAGAGATAGTTATTTCATTTTGTAGATAATTGATGTGTGAGAGTTCAAAAGAAATCTGGTTAAATAATTATTGGTAAATGTGCATGAGAATTTAAAAATTATAATAAGTCGTGTGTTATAGTTTTTTTTAAATAATAATAATAATAATAATAGAAATAAAAAAATTCAGTTAAAGAAACTTGTATTGATTTGTTTTTTTTTTTTTTTTGGGTAATTAATAATTAATACATTAAGAAAATTCTGGGGCCTCGTTTAAGATGGCAACTTGTATTGATTAATAGAATAGGAATTGTTTATTTGGTAACTAATATATTGAAGGAAACATGATTAATAAGTTTTTAAAAAATAAGGTCTCTTTATCGATTGGGGCTTTACGTGGCCGCTTTAATCACTTGTTGTGCCGTCCCTAAATAAATAGGAGTTAAATAATACCGGTCTTAATATAATTTGAGAATTTAGATGAAAAACTCCTTGACAAAAGAGGTGGCTTTATACTTATAACTCAGGTCAATAATTTTTTTTTAAAAAAATTCGTGGCTTTATATTTATAACTCAAGTCAATAATATATATTTGTAAATTTTGTAATTATTTTAAATGACTTGATTATTCATTTGTTGAAGACAGCGCATAAAAGTTAGTAGAAAAAACTGGAAAGTTTTGTTGATTCTCACGGTCATTGGTTAGATATATTTTATAATTAATACAGTTTATGGAATGAGGGAGGAGGAAAAAAGAAATATATATGATAAGAACAGAAATTAAAAGTTTTAATAGGAAGGGGAATGAAAAGTTCAGAAATGAATTAATTCTTTGCAGCCACTATTAAATCTCTACTAGTTGAGGACTAATAATATAAAGAAATAAAATTTTTAGAAAGTCTAATGATATAAAAATAATAATAATAATTTTAGGGGTCTTAATAATATAAGAAAATAAAAAAATTAGGAAATTTAATAATATAAAAATAATAATAATTTTGTAGGCTCTTCTATTAGTTGAGGTCTAATAATATAAGAAAACAATTTTTTTATAAGTTTAATAATATAAGAAAATAATAATTGTTCGAGCTTTTTTATTAGTTGAGATTTTTGGCGACCGCCTAAATCACCTAATGCTCTAACCTGTCATGTACACGGGCATAGTGATATGTCTTAAATATGATAAACATATGAATACGGTGGACAAATCTCAACAAGTTAAAAGACATGGTCAAACCAAAAATGTGTTAAAAATAATCTATTATAATATTATATATAGAAAATAATTTTTGTTTTTTTATTCATGTTATTATGATTATTAGAGTATAAATTGGACTAATTATTATTATTATTATTTTTTCACCCTAGCAAGAAAACAGTCTTACGGCAGCAAGAAACACCATAGCACATACAACCACAAAGAACCACCATAAACAAGTAAAACAACCAAACAGCCCCGACAACCAAACACTAAACTAGGTCATGACACCAGTCATGATAATATTCTAAAGCTTAAAAGGTGTCCGAAGCACAACTGAGATTGAGAGGAATCCGAATTTGAGCAAACAAACTAGCTTGACACTGATCATCCCTCTGAGTTGTCCAGGGAATGACGTTTATTACGGTGGAGATGGACATAATCATTAGTTGACACACAAATAAAAAAAATTAAATAAGCAAATGACAATTGACCCGAGATCAATGGGTCCTCTGTATAAAATGGGTTTTCGTCTTTCATTAAGGCTTTGTTTGGATACATAGGAAAGAAAAGAAAAAAATAATAATAATATTAGTTATTAGAGAAAAGAAAAAAAAAAAAAAAAAGTAGCAATAATCTCTATTTATGTTTGAATATATAGAAAAGAAAAAAAAAAATGATAGCATTCTTGTTTGGATATGGTAGAGGGGAGAAAAGAAGACAAATAATAACAACCAAATTATTATCATGTCCTTTAAAATAGATGGGATATGAGGGACGGAGCCAATGAAGGGCCAGGGGCACGTGCCCCTGGCCTGGTCCCGCCCTCTATAATATATGTAGTAATTTTTTATATTTTTTCTATATATATGAATAATTGTATGTAGTGTCCTCCTAAATTTTGTGATTTCTAAAATTATCTCTTTATTTTCTCCTTTACTATTTAAATTCCATAAATTTCCTTAAAATAAAAGTTAAATTTTCATTACTCAATTGAAACTCTTAACTTTTTTCTTTAAAATTATCTCATTTTTCTTTCCTTTTTTCTATTTCTACTTCTTAAAATTATTCTTTTTAACGTGTATATTTGAATAATTTTATTCTTCTTTTTCTTTTATATTTTATATTTGTTATATATATATATATATATTTGCACTATGTCCCCTAATTCGAAATCCTGACTCCGTCATATAAATGAAATAATAATTCTCTCTTTTAATTGTTGAGGACAATTTTAAAATTATGAAAATACTTACTTAAACACTATCATTTATCTCCCTATTTCCTATCTTTGTCTATCTTTTCTTTTCTCTCATTTTTTATTTTTTTCTTTTATTAGTTAGTGTCTTTTAAAAAATTATTCATATGATATTGTTTATGGAAAAATATTAGTCATGCAAGTAAACAGTGTTTGCCTTTTTAATTCATTATCAAATTTGTGATACTTCTTTGTTACAAATTAATTTTTTTTAGAACGAAATAAATTAATTCTCCAATTATCTCGGTCCTGTAGATAGTTAGATTCCATTCAATATTTTTTCATTTATGGTTGTAACCCTTCTTAAATGTGAATAACGTTCAAATGGATTCCTTTTATTTCCTTTATTTTCTCTCACTAAGCCCTCCAAATCTCTCACTTCTGGATTCTTCTTATTAGACCCAATGGGTTGGATTTTAGGCTTACGATAATACCCTTCATCCGTCGGTGCGTAAATGTCAATACAGGTTAATTGCGTAAAAACAAAAATTGTACAATAGCACAGAATAATAGATCTATACTATTCCCACATCAAAACCCCAAAAGCAAAACCCTAATTCCACCCCTCTCTCTCTCGGCTCCCTCTGTGCTTCGATGGCTGACTCAGTGATCTCAATGGAAAAGGTTAAGGCTTTCTGGAACTCGCAAATCTACGATGAAGATAAGTGGGCTCTCAACGCGGTACGTCTTCGCCCCAATTTTCTTCTTCGCTACTCTCCTATTCTCTAGATTTCTGTGTGTGTATATATATTATATATAAATACGTATGTATATATGATTATGCATTTTTTTTTTTGTTTGCTACTGGTATAATAAATCACGTAGAAACATCTAGTGTAAGCCTATCCCCAAAAGGTTGATTTTTGTATGTTATAGTCCATATACACATATTCTTTGTTGATTTAGTCGAATTGTATCTGGGTTATATGTGAATATTGATTCAGATAGCATGTATGTTATGCACTGCAGTTATGTAGACAAATATTTGTTTCCTAGTTCTTCTTCGTTTACGTTTTGAGCAGTGGTCTGCTTACTTTCTGAGTAAAGTTGGGAAAAAAAAAGAGATTTTGAAATTCTGAATATTCTTTTGTTGTTAAACATTATATTGGTCCAGAAGAAATAGAATTCTTCAATTTGATTTGTGGAATAGAAAGTAACGTGAAACATGAGAAAACAACCCTGCTTTGTTTTTCCTCAGTTTTAGCAGCAATTAAGGAGACGTTCACTTTACTTTTATGAATGTTGCCATATCTGTTTTTTTGTTTTATATATATATTTGGGATTTGCGATCACTGAAGGCATTATATTTGGATTTGCAATATGCTGCAATTGAAAGGTGCAATTTGCATAATATATATCAAAAAAATACAAAATTTGAAAAAAATTGGTTTGGTTATCAGTGCATTCCGCCAATTGTTGATCTAATGGCGTCACTGAATTTGCAAAACTAGAGTTGTCCATATATTTTTTTTTACTGTCACACAATTCTTGACCCAATGAATTTTCTCATAGTTGTAGAGGGTATATATACGTACACTATGTTTGTATATGTGCTCACCATGTGCAACAGGTTAAAACGTTGTACGTTGTGTGTATGAAGATATATGTAGCTAGGAGTTTATACTTGTGGCGCTATTATTCGTATTATCTGAATTTCATAAGTTGCTTCTATCTTTGATGAGTGGAGCTTATATAAATTTTTTGTTTGAATTTTATATGAATTTGCTGCAAAATGCACACTCCATCAATAGAGATGGATTGTGGCGGACCTGTGATGGTGACCTGGTGTGTCTTGGTGATGGTGGTTGGTGGCGACAGGTCATGGTGGAGTGGTGGGATTAGCAGGTGGTCTAGTAGTGGTTGCCAGCAACAATGATGGACGGGTAGTGAGAGGATATAAGAGGTTTGTGGCAATCAATGAGTGGAGCGGGGAGAGAGCGCATAGAGACCAAGAAGAGAGAGAAGATAGAAACTGAGAAAGAGGGATAGGAGAGAGAAGAAAGAGATAAAGAGAGAGGTTGTGGTGGCAATGGGGGAGGGATAAGTGGCAACTGGTTTGGAGGTTTCAGAGGAGAGAGAAATTGGTTTTATTGGTGCCATTGGTGGCGGTATGTTTGAGAGGGATAAGTGAGAGACAAAAGAAGGTAGAGGGGAAAGATGGGTGAAGGATTAATGGGGGCACTTTAGCCTTTATATTTTATTAGAAGGAGCAATTATGCAGTTTTTTCCAGATTTTTTCTTTAAAATTGAGGGTAAAAACAGCATTTTACAATCTATCATCTAACCCTAACATTAAACAGCGTCTCACTATAATATTGCGCCAATCTGTCTGCATTCACATATAATTCCCCCTTAATTAAAACAGTGGTCACATTCCTTTTTATACTTCCTATTTATAACACTACTCTTACACTTGCGTCACATGGGATGTAACCAATAAGATTCCAAAACTCTTGAACTTCTTAAGCTAAGACAAAGGAACATGACTTGAAGACTTCTAATCTTCTAATACATCATAATAAAATAAATAAAAGTAGGTAAAGACTACATGGCTGACTGCTTTAAAAGTCCACATTACGATGTCAATAAATGATCCAATTTTGACTGAACCCAGTAATGCAAGGCTCCAAGTGGACCCTACATCATTTAATACTTGTGCGCCAAATCAAGGCTTGGGCCTTAGAACCCTTCTTTTTATGCCTTTTATAAACCTGTAAAGGTCGCTATCCTGGTGAATTAAAAGCATGGAATTGCTAATGTAGGGCAGGATATTGGTGTTGGATTTGATTAAGCAACTCTATAATCCGTAATAATTCCCATCATGCAGAGTATCAGTCAATCTCCCTTTCCTGATCTTGCAGCCATGATGCTAACCGCTGCTAACTGCACTATAATACCAAACTGATATAGGACCTTAAGAGAAGTCTCAAATAGTTGAAAGTTAAAAGGATTTAATGGGTGAAAAGATAGTATACCACTGGCGTTTAGAGTCAGATTAAATCCTTTTAACTTTCAACTGTGTAGGATTTAGAGTTGGAGCAAGGACAAGAATCAAAAGCCACCTACTGAAGTCTCACCACTCACCAGGGGTGACAAGTTACATTGTTGTTTTATAACCGAAGACAACATGCTTGTTGCAGCCTTTGGAATAAGTGAATTTGGGCACCATACCTGACACAATACTTCACTATGTCTATATGTCTAAAGAGGAAATAAGAAATTTATATTGAAATAATAAGAATTTTTTTTTTTGTTTTTTTTTGCTTCCATTCACCTGCTAAGCTGCCAACAATTCCCTTGTTATTGCATTCACTTGATGGATTCGTGTAGCTGTCTTTAGGAGTATTTTTTTCTTCTGGTCAAGTAGTCTATCCTTATCAAAACAAAAATAAATAAAGAAGAGGTAGTCTGCACTTGATAGTTGGGATAGCTTTTTATTTCCTCTTCTTTTTTTTCTTTTTTTTTTTTACCCTGCCCCCATCGGTGGCGTGGGTTGTCTCCATCCCTTTTAGAGTGCAACAAATTTCCATTGAACTTGGAAACTTGCACCTGGTGAACATAGAAAATTTTGGGGTCGGAGTCTAACTTGGTTCAACAGTAAAACATCTGACCACTAGCGCGAGTTCGAGTACTAGAGCAGCTACTTTGTGAAGTAACAAAGATTTAGCCCAAGTCCTCCCTCCATGTCGAAGTGGGAGCAGAACTGGATAATGACGTAAGAATTTTAGTTAGTTCCCGGAGCATTATGCCAGCTCAATTTCCCTCTGGGGTTAGTGAGTCGAGTTCCAATGGTTCAAGAACCTTTTCGGTGATTAAAAACTTGGTATGACTATGGCCTTCACATGGTAACATTGGAGGCGGTGCTTCATACTAATTAATTTGTTTTGTGCTTGTATACTTTTGCAGGTTAGTATCACTTTCTTTTCGTTTTTTTTTCTTTTTTTTTTTTATTTTTTTCCTATTTTGCTTAGGTTCTATTTGAGAATTTCATCCTGTTTACTTACCAGTTCAATTAAACAATAACTCTTGTTGCGTTCTTTGCCTTCTGTTCCTATTTACCAATTAATTATGTTTTGTGCAGAAATTGCTCCGTGCTGCAGGGCTCTTTGCTGGCTCCATTATTTTGATGCGCAGTTATGGTGATCTCATGGCTATATGAGATACCTGATGAGTCTCTACGCACAAGAATCGCATCCTAGGAATTACTTGGGTTTTCTGCTCTCTTATTTATCATACTATTAGTTGCCAGCATGGATTTTTGAGTTGTGTTAAAGACGAGATATTCATGCTTTAACTTCAGGTTGTTATGGCTGGTTCAATGGCTTAGCTTTAAGTAGTTTTGGTTTTTTTACCTTCAATGTGCCATGGTAAATGAATGTGGAAATAGCACAACTTTCATTTTCATTTGATGCTCAATGCTTTTCTTCCCAGATTGCTTTTGTGTTTATCTGGGACACTAAATTTGTCAACCATGCCTGTGTTTGGGTAGCCAAAAATGGATAAGGTGTGAAAGATTACCTATTGTAATGAGTTGAGTTAATCTGATGGGGTAAACTGAACCCAACCCGTGTCCAACCAGGTTTTATTGTGAAAGAGCAGTTGAGGAGTGAGGTCTCATAATTGGGCCTCCGTGCTATTAGGGCTCCATAAAGCCGAGTCTCCAAAACTGGCCTGGGTGCAAACTGGCCAATCGACTGTGGTCCGGCCTGGGACTGCTGTTGGATAGATCAATCCAGCCACGTAGCTAGGTGGGAGTTCTTGGGTAAAGTCCTTAGGGCGGTCAAGTAGCATAACCCGTCAATCTGATCCATTAGGCCTGACTCTGGCTAAATTGGCCTGGTTAGGCCCACCAAGCTGCTATTATACCTTTAGCACCAATCCATAGGGATAGCAACAGACGGGGTGGGGCGGGGATCTCATTCACCATCTCAGTCAAAATTTTTACCCCGGTCCCTGCTCCCATACCCGTTAAAAATTGCAATCCCACCCCCATCCCGCCCCGCCACCATCTTTCCCGCCCCGTCCCCATCACCCCCGCCCCCGATTAAGTTTTGCTGCTTCTCAATATCACACATATACATGAAAGAAAAAATCACAAAAAGATTCTCAGTTCCAATTGTAAAAAAAAAAAATCTCAGTTCTAGTTGTAAAAAAATTTAAAAATTACAATTCAATCAAAAACAAAATGATTTGATCTATTATATACACACACACACACAATCACCTCAGAACAGTGAAGTCCTTAGTGATGGAAAGGGAAGAGAACACACGTAGAACAAGAATTTCTTCAACCCCTTTCCAAAAAAAAATTTCTTCAACCGATGCCTGTGAGGGGGAAGAGATGATGTCGGAGACAGTTTCGGAAGGACGCGGAAAATCCGATGCCGGAGACGGATTCGGAAGGACGGGAACAGTTGACGTTATTATCGAATCTTAGGAGAAAAAAGAGAGAAGATAAGGAGGAGGCGGCGACGTGGGTTATTAGGACAAGGTTTTTGGGTTTCAACATATATGGTATATATATATAGTATAGGCTAGTTTGGTAAATATAATAACATGGGCAAGGGTATCTTAGTAATTTCATACCTAATCGGGACAGGTTTACCCCATCCCCGGCCCCGGTGGGGATTCAAAACTTGTCCCCATCCTCATTCCTGTTTAGCTAAAGATTCCTCATCCCCGCTATAAACGGGGCCCGACGGGGATGGGGAATTCGCCATCCCTACCAATCCATAAGGGCCTGCTTTGTTTTGTACCGTGAAACATTTTATGAATAGTGGCCAAAAAAAACAAGAAGTTTGGTGTTTTTATAAGTTTCAATATCCAAAAAAAATTTGAAAAATCACTAACCATTATATTTTTCAAACTTACTGCACCTTTTTTTCTACATGTTTTCAAGTTTTTAAAATATGTTTCTGATTATTATTTAAAATATGATTTATTTTACACAATGTGTTTATTTCGAATTAAAACAAAGTATTACTTGACCTACAAATTTTGATTGATTTACTTGACCAATAAATTTTGATTATTCATTAAGTTAAAATATAAAGAAATGTAACCTTTCACTTTCTTATATATATTTGGTAAAGACAACCTATCAAAATTCACTTTGAGACTGACCAATTATTAGTGCTCGTTTTTGAAATTTCAAATTGACCACCATATGATTGTTTGCGTAATTTGTTATGGTTATCTAATCAGACATCGGTCATCTGAACTATGAAAAAAATCTAAAATGCGAGTTCTAGAAAGTATGCTAAAAAAAAATTAAGGCAAATTACACAAAGCACATTGATATTACGAATTTGATTCCAATCTGAATTCATGTTTCAAATCTGGTCTGTATACATGGTATTAAGAATTTGATTTACAAAGCACTTTTATTTTGATGTTTTCTTTCTTAGAATCACAAGAAAGCTCACAGAAAAAGGTTCATGACGACAGTGGCATGCAATGGAATTTAAAAATAGTGAGAGAACGTCAGACACAAACTAATGGAAAGAGGAGAAACACTAGTTATATTGTTGATACAAGTGGGTCACTTTTTGTCCATTAAAATAATAATTTCAGTTTAATGAATGAATAATTTAGTCAAGGTTATTTTTGTCCAAAACTTTTTTATTCAAAAAATTTATTAGGAAAAAAAAAAAAAAAAAAAAATTTCTAAAACTTGTGTTGCACTAAATCACATAGCGCGAGCATAAAAACAGCAAAATCTAAGTCACACAAACCTTTGAGAAAACCACAAGAAAACCTTAAGGATGCCAGGGCTTTCAAAACGCGCTCTTGATGGCGTGGGTGTAGGAGTGTGCGCGGACCGTGAATACGTGGACCGTGAGAGCGGTACTTATTTCGCACGCAATTTTGTTTGTTAAAAACTATTATAAAATGAGGGAAAAGCAACAATTCACTTGCAATTTTGTGAGCTCGCCGTCTGCTTGTAATTTACAAACCTAAGGAATTGTATTCTAATTTATTTTAACATTTTTATTACTAATATCTATTTGATATATACAATTAATTATAAACTTTACAATTTTGCAAATTAAGTTACAAAGTTTATAATTTTAATTAATTTAATTTATTGGGCCTTCCATTCGTTTTACCAATTGCAATTCAAAATGGTGGGATTTTGTTACACATATACAAGTAGGAGCAAATGGGGGTGACAAGTGGGTAAAATTTAGGGCTCCAAAGATTTGTGTTAATATACATATATATATATTAGTGCTATAAATATATATTATGTGTTGTGCATTTTCCTTCCAAAAAAACCCTTTACATGGATCCTCCTGCTCAACAGAACAAGAGAATAAAATCTTCCCTAAGACCCCACAAAAAGATTAGTTGCTTGAACATAAGGGAATTAGATAAATGTGAGCAGTGTCCTCTTTCTGTATATAATTGGTAGAGATGAATAGAGATATTGAAGAAGGTTCATCTAAATCTCAGAGAGATGCATAAGCTGTCACATTTTTCGTAAGCCCCATCACACAATGTCAGATCAGATTACAAGAGAAGAACCATGAATTCTGATAGTACGAATTGCTAAAAACCCCAACATAAAATTAATTCCATCATTCAAGTTATGGTTCACAACTTCACATCATCTGGAACATGCCCCATAATGGCATTTGCTATTTGTTTCAAAATTAAATATTTAGAATGCAACAAAAACCATTTGTAATGGATTAGCTAGAGAACATATATTACAAGCACTGGTGTGAACAACCATAGTCACTTCCTAATTAGCTTAAACCTCCCTCATCATCAAACAAATAACTTATGTATGAAGATATGGAAGACATTTCCTTGACACTATGATTCCCAAAACACAAAAAGCCAAACCACGCCCTATTGAGAGACTTTCATCTTTGCTATCTCTTCCAGCAAAAACCTAGATTCAGCTGCAAAATCAACTGGAGCAACAGCTCTGGCTGTTACCCTCTGCCTTTTCTCACTCATGTACTCTTGCTGTGTAACACTAACTCGGAAAAGATGTGGAACCCATGTAGCTTCTTTCAATTTCAGTTGGAAAGAATTTCTTTCTTCCTCCTGAAAATATAAAAAGAAAAATTAAAACTGCTTGACAACTTTGTATTTCCCTTTAGAACAACCAAAAAATAGGCCAACATGATTTGGGATTCACTTTAGTTGTGTCGGTTTACCTGGGATTTCAGTTTATCAAGCTCATCAGCGGAGCACCCAATTATCTTCTCTGCTTGATCATTGAACAAAGAGAGCCAAGCTTCACCATTTGCATCAGAAACCTTTGCCACCATTATGTACCTGAAATTTGAACATGTTATAGCTTTCACAAAAAGGTGCGAAAGTCAAATTGCATTTCAAGTTTTCAGAGACTCAAACCTTAAACTGCACTCTGCATCATTCTTCTGGCATCCTTCACACCAATATCCAGATCCAATAGCCTCAGTAACCTTCTTGTTGCAAGTCTTACAAGCACGATACCACATAGTTTGATCAGGTTTGATGAGGCTAATGTATGCCCTGATGCTGAAAAAAGCAGGCTGCCAGACAAAATTAAGTCCACATTGTTAAAATTCAGAATTAATTTCAAGTCATCAGGATAGATTGCTACTGATTTATGTATGAGCTTAAAAAAAGAAATTCACTAATGATTAAGAAACTTCAAAACTTCTCATGTTTGTTCTTCACAATTTCTTGCAGACATTCAAGAACTAGTCATTTAAGTTAGAAATTTATTGAAGAGCTTATACTATGATACCTTGTCATCACCCAATGATGGATTACTCGTTATATGAGAAAGGGAAACACGGTCAGAGTACATGTTTCGCATTCCACTTGTAGCCATGGGGCTCATACCAGAGCCAACAGAAGCCATTGAAGTCTCTTTGCCTTCAGAATCATACCTGTACACAAAATTACAAAATGATTTGAAATAATTCTCAAAAGAACAACCATCTTTAAAAAAAATTACTGGACAGTGTCTTACCAGGATCTAAGTTTTTTTGATTCGGGTATTTCTGGATTTACCACTACAATGCTTTTGCTCAATGCTGACAAAGATACACCTGAAATGAAAAAAGAAAGCACATTTTGGAATTGGTCAATTAGTATTACTAGCAGCTATATATGCGTCACCCAAATAAATCTTTATGTACCTTGGAAGTCTCCAACTTTTAGGGATTTAATTGCAACTACAGGAGATTTATCAGCAATATCTAGCAATTCTTGGCCTATATTGGTAGCAAGATCATTCCACAAAGACACCACCACAGTCTTCTTCCTGATATTATTTCAAAGATTCAATATAACATACAAGATAGCAAAACAGAAAGAACTGTATTTGAAGAATACACTTACGTCTCATCAGCAATAGTAATGTCACGTTTTGGAATGGTCTCGTTATTAATTTTTCTTCGAATGCTCATCGTTGGAGATACACTTTGAACCACACCAACAACATCTACAATTCATATCAATTCAAGAATTACATTACAGAAGGGAAATGATAAAAGTAAATCAAAGGGTTTAGCCAAGAGGGTCCTTACCTATAAGTTCCTTCCCATTGACATATGGACCTAACTGATCAATTGGAACAAAATTGAATTTAGTTTCAGGAATAAAAGTTGCTTCATTACTTGCTTCTTCCACCTCAGAATATTCATTCAAGGTCATTTCATAGTCATTTTGCACTGTCTTGAACTGCTTGTTAGCAACTTTTAGAGTCCCCTTTGATATGTAATAAACCTTTCCCATTTCGAACTTGTCATAGAACTTCTTTGCAGCTTCATTAAACATTGTTGCTTGTATTTGTGTACCCTGCATTAGAGAAATCATTTTATTGAATCAATTCAACTTCAATCAAATGTCAATTTGTTATGTTTACCACAAAACACAGTTCAAGAAGGCTGCTACAAGAAACATCAATGTTTGCTTACATCTTCATCTGTTAGCTCCACGTTGAAGACACACCCTTCACCTCTAGCATTCTTATAAGTGCGCATGTTTCCTTTGCTAGTAAGCCGGACCTTTATGGTCCAGTTTCCTTGGTAAGGATTCAAGGAAACAAGTGGATGAACTCTTCGTGTCATCGCCATACGTGCAGAAGGTGCCATACTAACATTTAGAAAAGAATACAACATTAATGAATAAAACAATAGCATTGTTCAAATCAGTGAAATTATAAAATAAAAAATAAAAAAAATTAAGTGATTATTATTTCCACAAGCATTTTGGCCCATAAAATGTCAACATTCAAACAAAACAAATGTCTATGAGACTATGACACGACCAATATAGAAGATTGCACTTGAAAATGGAAAATTTTGGGCAGTCCTATACTATTTTCAAAATGGGTGACTGAAAATGTTTAAGAACACTTACTTCCCATTCTGTTCGTGTACTATCTGAGCAGCTGATTTAGTAACCAATTCTTGCTTTGGCTTCAAAACAATTCCAGTCCCTTCCCTTTTAACCTCACTCTTGATATCCATTTCTTGCTTTGGCTTCAATACAATGTCAGTTTCTTCATTTTTCACCTCAGTTTTGATCTCTGATTCAAGAGCAGGAGACACAGCCTCACATTTTGTAACAATTAGATACCTGTAAAAATTGAAGACAATAGATTGATTTTTAAGCATTCATAACCCTAGAAACACAGAACAAATATCAGTGATTATCTCATTACTTCTCATTCTTGTTTGGAATGTCATTGAGTGTGTAATCGAGAATCTGAATGAGACCCAAGTTCTGAATATTTCCAGAGATGACCTCAGATGACAAACTAGATTGTAGAATCGCTTTGAGTTTCATCTTCCCATCACTAGCTGAAAACCTGCGAGCAATCAATTTGTTCAGCAAAGATCATGAATGGTCTACCCTTGGTTAGGGATCTAAAATAACAGAACTGGATTTTGAAGTACCCTTCCAAGTACACACACACAAGTGTGTAATAAATTCAAAATACCCATTGGCAAGGACAGAGCAAAGAAACTAACCAACAAGTTTATGGATTCGATTTCATAACACATGCCACGGAGAGAACTGAACCCATTGCTCAAAAACCACAGATCTAGGTACCAGTGATTCTAAAAAATTGAAAGATGGATTTACGAGAACAACCCAACAGATGGGTCGAAATGAGGATATTCAGTGATTGTTTGTTCAAATAAGAAAATGTAGGCAAGGGAATAAACCAACCTAATTTAACCTAACTATGAACTAGTTGAATCTAGGGTTTCAAATGTTGAAACCCAAATCAGTAAATCAGATCAAGATTGGGAATTTCATTTCTTCTACAAGGCAAAAGCGAAACCAAACAGATGGATTTGGAAAGTTAAAGGGAAACGAATAAAGTAATTAGGACATTTTGACTTCTCTGAGCAGGTAATAAGAAAACAATAATCTAAGTTTCAGAGAGAGAAAACTGAACTCACATGTATCTATTTCCGGCAGGCTTCAGATCCACAACCTGTACAACGATTTCTGGGACCTCAGATGAAGAATCCGGAGATGGGTTTGACAGTATGGTTGAAATCGCATCTGGGGTTATGAATTTCGCCATTCTCTCTCTCTAAACCTCACAACTGAAATGGAAGGGTCTCTCTCTCTAGAGAATATAATAGGTTAGAGAGAAGTATCAGAAGGCGGGGGGTGTCTTGTATTTGTGGGTTTGGCGCGAAATAGTTTTTGAGTTTTCACGAATCGATTAGTTTGCTTTGAAAAAATTGTGGGCTCTTCTTTTCGGCGCCAAAATTTAGAACTTAGAATCGCAGATTGAGTAGAACTATTGGACAGCTCACGCAATCCCGCCTGTTAGGGAAGTGGATTTACCCTATTTACCCTTGGAATACTTTATAAATGAAATATGTATGTAAAATAAACAATTGTGTTTAAATTCTATGAGGATGACATTGAAGAAAGGATTTAATGAATGTCAGTAATTTGGAATTCTCACATTTAATAAATGTGCATTTCTTAAAATTAAGATTTGAAAATTAAACAACCTAAAAAATAATGTTAGCAAATTCAATTTAAGATAAAATGAAAGAAAAAAATTTTGAAATATATATATATATATATATATATATATATAACTTTAAACATAAGAATTTATTTAAATTATTGGAATTAAAAAAAAAAAAAAAAAAAAAAACTTATATTGTAAATGATTTTCAAATTGAACCTTGTCTACGCCAAGTCATTAATGAAATAAGATGATTACTATAATAATAATAATAACAATTGCAGGAAACTTTTACACATATTTCATCTTGATATTTATCATGCAATGACGCATAACTGATAGAGTTTTTTTATATGGTAGATAAAAATAAAAAATAAATAAATAAATAAAACTATAGAGTTTGTTTCAAGTTTAAAAACTAGATGAAGTTACAAATTTCAAATTTAATTTACATTAACCTTCTACTTATAACAAATGTATATCCTTATTTGTGATTGATATCTCTAACATGCTCTCAAGCTTAGTGAGTTATTCAACAAGTGAGCTTGTCACGTATGAAAAGAAATCGATTGCCACCTAAATTATGATTAATTATAATATTATCAATTTGATCTAGGAGGAATCGAACACCGAAATCCTTTCAAGTTACTTTTTCGCAAACAAAATGAAAATCGATTTCCACGTGCTTAGTACGGCATGGAATATGGGATTTGTAGTGAGATATGTTGCACTATGGTTATCACACCATAATTCAAGAGAATGAGAAAGAAATAACATGAGTTCTCGAAATAAGGATTCCAACCACACCAGTTCAGCTGAAGGATTAGCTAGCCCCTATATTCCGATTCCATGCTAGATCGAAATAATCAAGAAAGATAGAGTTGAGCGACAAATGAGTAAGCCATGTGTGCTAGTAATCTTAAAAAATAAAAAATAAAAGATTATGCATGAATTTAGACACTTGATTGACTAGAGAGGAAATGTCAGGTCGGGTGACAAAAAAAAAATATATATGTATTGAAGAGCTCTCACATGGTGACGAAATTCAGTAAGATCATTCAATGGTTTTCCAGCAAATTGACATAAAGAGGAACCAGAAACCATTGCACTTAAACAAGGTTTAGCTCCTTCCATTTTTGTGTGGCACAAAAGTATTGGAATTTATATGCTCTGGCGTAGCGAATTCTTAATTGGATTAAAGTGACACATGTTCCTAAAATATCTGAAATATTTATACTTTATATAATTGATGAATTTAATGTATTATGTTTCGATTCATTATGGAATTGATAGTGTCCACTTGATTACAAGAGATATTTATATATGTATGTGATTGCGATCAATACATGAATATAAATAGTAATCATAAATAGTTCATAACCGATAATTATGGATGGACTCATTATTAACTAAGACTTGAACTGGATCCGCATTAGGTTGAGAAATATTGTAAGAACCGTCGTATGCAATTACTCCCTATCACCGTCATGGCATTTGACTCTTAAACATGACAGAAGTATATACTCTTTTATTAATTAGTAATTACTTTGATTTGTTTGGTGGAATTTTCGGAATCCTTAGACCGATACTTTGGGTAATTATGTAATTAATAGTTAGAGGATTATATTTTCAATATTTGAATCGTTGTTACTTGTATTTATTTTGTAGTGATTATAGTTGATCACAAAGTAAATTCGAAGGCCTTCGTGTGTTTTTAGACAAAATGATTTATTATATATTTATTTATTTAAATTATTATTTTTGTCAAACAAATGTTTTATTGTGATCGAGTCGAAAATAATCAAAGGTACCAAAATAAATATATTAATTAAGTAGTTGGATTGATGGCTTTATTTATCCGATAACTAATTATGCATAGAGTGGTCAAAGTGCAACATTGACTTAGAGGTTATTTATTATTTAATTGGAGTTCAATTAATTTCTTTTAGTGGAGTAGAAATTAATTTATGAATTAATTGAATTAGGTTCATAGATTGAGCCAATTATTAATTCAATGTAGCCAAGAAAATAATAAGCCCAAAGGATTCTCACTCATAGCCCAACTTAATATTGGAATCCTATTAGATTTGAGATATGTGAATTAGAGATTGAGAATGATTTATTATTTCATTTCCTTATCTTTATGTTGCCTATATATACATGGTCCATGTATATTTTATGTGAGACTTTTGAAAGAAAAATGAATATTTTCTCTCTCTAGAATTTTAGAATTAGTGTTCTCATTTAATGGAAGCTCCTACAAGCCTAGTTTTATAAGGTCATTCATGGAGGCTTATGGGTGATTCCTACAGGCAAAACATTTACCAAGAAGATGGAGTTCCAAGGAGAAGGCATCTAGCAAAGGGATCTACAATAAGTGAGAACATGTACTTTAGATGAGAGATTTAAGGTTTACTCAAACCTTTGATGTAAGTATTCAATCTATTAATTGAATGATACATCGTATTTTATTTTTGTATAAAACTCGTTTCTATGTGATGAATCAAGATATATGTATGAAAATCCCTCAGAAATTTTTTTAAACTTACACGTTTCCCAACAGTGGTATCAGAGCATGGTTTGATTCATTACTAGATATCATGTTTTTCTGAAAATCATTATTCATGGATCCAAATTTATATATGCATATGTATATTTGAATATATAATCATGATGTATGTATATTTGGTTTTGGATGATGATGGAGTTTATAAGTTAATTGAATGTAAAAAATTAATTTACATAATTGAACTTTCAAATGACTAAATCAAAGTCTTAATTGCATTCATCCAAATATAAAATTACATTTAATTAACCTATAAGCTTCATCCATGACCCAAACATACATCATCATCTAAAACCAAATATACATACATCATGATCATATATTCAAATATACATATGCATATATAAATTTGGATTCATGAATAATGATTTTCAGAAAAACACGATTTCTAGTAATAAATCAAACCTTACTCTGATATCATTGTTGGGAAACGTGCAAGTTTTAAAAACTTTCTGAGCGATTTTATACATAGATCTTGATTTTTTATCACATAGAGACAAAAAGATCAAGAATATATTTAGTTTGGGAATGGAAAAGGTTAGAAGTAGTATATATGGCTTCCATACCAAAGAAAAACTTAAGGGAACCCAAACATTTAAGGGTGAATTTAGCTCCAAGTCGAGAAATAAGACGATTGATTATCGTTTGACTTGTCCCAGTAGCAATGATATCATCCACATCAACAAATAAATATATTACAAAAATACAGTGTTTAAAGATAAACAATGGCATCAGATTGGGGTGTAAAAAAATCAAGTTCCAAAAGAAATGACTTGAGACGATGATACCATGCTCGCAGAGCCTGCTTAAGTCCGTAAAGAGCCTTTTGTAACTTAGAAACATCAATAGGATACTGAGGATCGACATATCTTGGTGGTTGAGCCATGAACACATTTTCTTGTAACGTACCATGAAAGAGAGCATTAGAAATATCTAATTGAGAGAGGGTCCAACCATGAGATCGAGAAACCACAATAAATAAATTCAGGCGAACTGGAACATATTTGACAACCGGGCTAAAGGTTTGACTATAATTAAGGTCGAGTTGTTCATGAAACCCTTTTACAATTAATCAAGCCTTGTAACGATCAATAGATCCATCGGCCTTCCATTTTATTTTGAATACCGATCTACAACTAACCGCATTCATATAAAATGAATATGTAATAAGAGACCATGTGCCATTCTTGATGAATGCATTATACTTATCAACCATGTCTATTCGCTAACAAACATCTTTATTAGCATGTATGAAGTAAATGGTTTCAACATATTCATAAGCAAGAACAAGTAATATTCGTGATAAATGACGCCTAACAACAGGGAAAACTCGAGGCTTACGAGTACTATCTCTTGATCACTGGATGAAGAGAACAAGTAGATTGTTCAGTGGGAGTTATGAAGAGAGCAATAACGGTATCAGGTGTAGTATGAGTGCTTTGAGTCGTGGTAGAAGAAGCTGGAGGCTATGGAATGCAGTCTTTTCAAATGTTGTTTTCGGCTTTCTAGGCTTAGAAGCTATTATGAACAATGTTTGGATAATTTTATAGAAGAGCTTTTAGCTCTTAGAAGAGCGTTTTGGAGAAGCTGGGGACCTCCAGCTTTGGCAAAACGCTCTTCTAGATACACACGAGAAGCCGTTTATGGGTTTAATGAATATTTCAACATGACAAGCGTACCCTTTTCTTTTAGGCATTGAGAAAATAAAATTACAACATCTGCCATTATAAAAGACATCGTATTATTCCTAAACCCTAAGGACAACTCAAACGAGGAAGATCGTCACTTTCCTTCTAAACCCTAAGGACAACTAAAACGATAACTTCTCGATTTAAGGATCTCTTTCGTTTCAGGCAAGGATACGACATCTTTTACTTTGTTGTATATGAATGATTGATTAAAGTTTATATATGAATGTTGGATTGAATGTATGGTGTGAAGTTTGGAGTGACCAAAATTTTGAACTAATTAATCGTACTGTTTTTATTAACCAATTTTTTTTTTTATGCCCTAATCGATCACGTGAATGTTGCATTATTAAACCTCCATTTTTGTATTAACAACCATTTTTACATGATATATGGATGCATATACATATACAACATTATAACATTTGTTATAAATATGTTTTTTATACTGTATTTGACATATTATTATAAGTATGCTTTTTATATTGTGATTGGAGAAAACTTTAATAATAATTAAAGTATCGAGTATTGTATTATTTTACTTTGTTGTATATGAATGATTGATTCTACTTTGTATATGAATGTTGGATTGAA